GACCCCTAGTTGTAACTGGGGTTGTATTCCTTTAATGAATGTTTGTTATGCCACATACTTGCTTTCTGAAACTTCCTTGTAACTAAGGATTGGACAAACAACGTTTACAAATCAGATACACTTACCCTCGGATCTGAACTTGAGGCTAGTGAAAAAAGAAATGGAATATACAGAGTCCATTGTAGTATGGGCAACAGTGGTGGCAGCAGCTGCAGCCAGTTACCCGGAATGGCAGGGGCAGTGAGAAGTTCTAGTGCCAGCATCAGTGGTATTGGGGCAACAGGCACTGCTCTCTGAAGCTATTACGGGTGGTGGTCATGTCCTTGTAGGACCAGTTCTGTAGTATAAATTTGGCCATTGTTCCCAGCTGTAGAGCCAGTAAGCTTAGTTCTCTGACCTTCCTAGAGATTTTTAATTAATCCTTATGTTATTTTTCATTTGATATTAGCCTCAATTCATTTCTGTTATTTGCAACTCAAAAACCTTACTGATACAATGCTTATCCCTGCATCAGTGCCTGGGGAATGGCATGACCCTGACTGTGCTAGACAAGTCAGGGCCCATCCCTGGAGCTGAGGACTGGATTCACCTCATCCAAACCACACAGCTGCTTTGCAGTGAGGGAGAGGAGGAAGGGGTATTGGCGTAGCCACCGCTAAAAATAGTACTGGGCTTTAGTGTCAGCAAAGCACACTTGTTAACTTATTCTTTATGTTTGTTTCCTACTATTAAAGCAACACGAGTGACAGCCTCTCTGAAACAGATGAAACTCGGATCATTATTGAAGCTGTAAGAGAAGCTAGTATTCCAAAATTTCTTCCAGAAGATGTCCCACTTTCTGACAAGATTATAGGAGATGTTTTTCCTGAAGCAATGGTTTCCACAGTAAATCAAATTGCCTTGGAGGTAATAAGACCTTTGAAAATTGTCACAAATGATTTAGACATGGGGTATCAATTAAGATAAACTAGATGTGGATTAAAAATATTACAGTTCTTCCTGAAACACTATTCACGTTATCATTTGGGGGATAAAGATACTTGGAGATATTCTTCCCCATGAGGGAGGGTGGAGGGTGGGGAGGGGAAAGAGCTTTCACTGCATCACAACCTAATAGAAGAATGAACTCTACCTTTAGGCAGGGAAGGCTTTTGCATATTTTCTTCCTCAATTTTCTCCTCTTTCAAATGGGAATAATAATGATTGCTTTTCCTACTTTAAAGGGGTGCTTTGAGAATCAAATTAGATCAGAATTATGAAAAAAGACTTCAAAATGTAGATATCTTGTGATCATTAAAATTACGTATTATAATTGTAGAGCCCTTTATTTTTTTTTCTTACATATATAGTCTTACAGTGATTACTTAGTCTAGGTAGGATCTCAGTATCTCTTATTACTATNTAAGACTCAAAGTCCAGAAGCCATACAAGAAAAGATTTATAATGGTGGAAAAAATACTTTTTCTAAAGTCAAAAGACAGTGACAAACTAGGAAAAAAGATACTTGCAACTCATGTCACAATTAAATAGCTTATCTTCAGAATATAGAAAGATTTCCTAGAAAATTGGGGGAAAACAGCAACAGACAGTTCTCAGGAAAAGAAACAAGAAAATTCTTTAAATATATGAAAATATGCTTAACTTCTAAGAAACAAGAAAATTCTTTAAATATATGAAAATATGCTTAACTCCTTTCATAATGAGAGAAGTGGACATTAAAATTACACTGAAATATTGTTTCTTATCAGATGGGCAAAAATATAAAAGTTGGATGGAACTTTCTGTTAGTGAGGTTATAAGAAAGGCATTCTTTTTCATTATTGGTTTGATTTGGGGCTGTATTGATGTATTACTTATTAAAAATTAATAGTGCATATAAAAGTTATGTTTATAATATCCTGTAGTCGTGTGCACTAACATTAAAAAATGCAAATACCTTAATTAAAAAATACTTTATGGCAGAAAAATGCTAACCATCATCTAAGCCTTCAGCCAGTTGTAATCTTTGCCGGTGGAGGGTCTTGCCTCAATGTTGATGGCTGCTGACTGATCAGGGTGGTGGGTGCTCAAGGTTGGGGTGGCTGTGGTAATTTCTTAAAATAATACAAGGAAGGATACCACATCAATTGATTTCCTTTCACAAACAATTTCTCTGTAGCATGTGATGCTGTTGGGCAGCATTTTACCCACAGTAGAAATGCTTTCAGAATTGGAGTGAGTCCTCTCAAACCTTGCTACTGCTTTATCAACTAAGTTTATGTAATATTCTAAATCCTTTGTCATCATTTCAACAATCTTCACAGCATCTTCACTTTGAGATTCTTGAGATTCTCTCAAGAAACCACTTTCTTTGCTCATCCATAAGAAGCAACTCCTCATCCATTAAAATTTTGAGCAACAATTCAGTCCCATCTTCAGGCTCCACTTCCAATTCTTGTTCTCTTGCTCTTTCCACCACATCTGCAGTTACTTCCACCACTGAAGTCTTGAACCTCTCAAAGTATCTGTGAGTATTGGAATCACCTTCTCCCAAACTCCTGTTAATGTTGCTATTTTGACCTCTTCCCATGGGTGATGAATGTTCTCAATGTGATCTAGAATGGCGAATCCTTTCCAGAAGGTTTTCAATGTGATTTGCCCAGATCCATGAGAGGAATCACTATCTGTGGCAGCTATAACTTTACGAAATTTATTCCTTAAATAATAGAATCTGAACGTTGAAAGTACTCTTTGATCCAAAGACTGCAGGTAGATGTGTTAGCAGACATGGAAACATTAATCTCATTGTCCATCTCCATCAGAGCTCTTGGGTGAACAGGTGCATTGTCAATAAGCAGTAATATTTTGCAAGGAATCTTTTTTTCTAAGCAGTAGATCTCTACAGTGGGCTAAAAGTGTTCAGTGAACTATGTTGTAAATAGACGTGCTGTCATCCAGGTTTTGTTGCTCCATTTATAGAGCGCAGACAGAGTGATTTAGCATAATCGTAAGGGCCCTAGAATTTTCAGAATAGTAAGTGAACATTGGCTTCAACTTAAAGTCACCGACTGCATCAGCCCCGAACAAGAGTCAGCCTGTCCTTTGAAACTTGGAAGCCAGGCATTGATGTCTCCTCTCTAAAAGGAGGACTATAAAAGTTCTAGATGGAATCTTCTTTCAATATAAGGCTGTCTGTTCTGCATTGAAAATCTGTTGTTTAGTGTAGCCACCTTCATTAATTATCTTAGCTAGATCTTCCGGATAACATCCTACAGCTTCGACATCAGCAGTTGCCTCTTCACCTTGTACTTTGGTGTAATGGAGGTGGCTTCTTTCCTTAAACCTCATGAACTCACCTCTGCCAGCTTCAGACTTTTCTTCTGCAGCTTCCTCACCTCTCACAACCTTCATAGAATTGAAGAGTTAGAGCCTTGCTTTGGGTTAGGCTTTGGTTTAAGGGAAAGTTGTGGCTGGTTTGATCTTCTCTCCAGACCACTAAAACTTTCTCCATATCAGCAGTAAGGCTGTTTCGCTTTCTTAATCATTTGTGTGTTCACTGGAGTAGCACTTTTAATGTCTTTCAAGAACTTTTTCTTTGACTTCACTACTTGGCTAATTGGTGTGAGAGGCCTAGTTTGGCCTGTCTCAACTTTCGACATGCCCGCTTCACTAAGCTTAATCTTTTCTAGCTTTTGGCTCCTAGTAAGAGATATGTGACTCTTCCTTTCACTTGAAAACTTAGAGGCCATTGCAGGGTTATTAAATGGCTTGATTTCAATATTGTTGTGTCTCCGGGAATACAGAGGCGTGAGGAGAGGGANTCTTAGTGATGAATACTGTAATGTCTTGTAGGTTTGTACTGGAAGGAAGAGAAATTCGTATCAATATGTCTTGTGCAGTTTTTATCACCATGAATTATGGGTAAGTATCAGTTAATCTGTAGGAGTGGACACAGGTCAAAATACTTTTCCTAAGACTTAATCATAGATGGAGTTATCTGACATCGTATATCTGTCATTCGCCCTCCACCACCCCTGTGAACCGCTCCACTACGCACACTATCAGACAGCTACAAGTCTGCACTTATCCAAATGGGTGATCTCTCGTCATGCTTCTCAACAAGGCGTGTTTTCACTTCATGAATAGCCAGAAAGGAAAAGTTCAGCAGTTTGTCACAAAGAAAACACAGCCAGAAAAGCTGATGAGAACAGCAGACGGAATGAATAAGAATATGGTGGTTACAGGGAGTGGAGGCTGAGCAGATTCAGTACATACCTGTTGATAAAATGTTGCGATGGTCCAGAGATTCAGAGGGAAGCAATGAAGTGCATGGTAGGAGGGGGCACAGGAAGAAAAGATCACCAAGTAGGAAGCTTTGTGAGATGAAAAGCGCAATAGAAACCATCTTGTAAACTTGTTTTCAGATAAAGGTCGCATAGAAAGTCAACAGAATTATTTGGGGGCAAGTTATATTATGTGGTACCTCATTTGAAAAACTGAAAAAGTGGTGTCTTTTGTTTCCTTGTTTTTCTTATCCTCTTAAGATACAGAGGTCGAGTAGATCTTCCAGATAACTTAAAATCTCTATTTCGCCCAGTGGCGATGATGACTCCCCATTATCAAATGATTGCTGAAATAATGCTGTTTTCAGTTGGTTTCAAATCTGCAAAATCACTCTCCCGAAAGCTAGTTAACCTTTACGAACTAGCTAGCAAAGAGCTCTCACAACAGGTAATGAACTACTTTTCTCCTATAAAAGTGATTGTATAAAACTTTTCTGGTATTGGCCCAGGAATGACCTGGGACACTAATGGAGCTAGAATTCCTGTCAGCACATGGAGTCCATGCCCCAAGTTGGATGTAAGGCAATAGGTAAAGTCTGTCAAGGTTCCAAACCTGTCCTCCAAGGCCTGGGGAAAGTACTCGAGTATCTGTTATTTTAAATTATTGACTGCTTTTCCCATACAAGGAGGTTAACATTTAGAGCAAAATAATTGGGAGGACTTGTTAAAACACAAATTGCTGGACCTTACCACCCACTTTCTAATTGTCAGGGGTAGGGCTAGAGAATTTGCATTTCTAACAAGTTCCCAAGTGGTCCTAATGCTGCTGATCTAAGTAGTACCGTATGTTGAAAATTATTGTTCTAGGGTATGCTAGCTTAATGAGTATTTGTTTATAACCCAAGATGGTTTAGATAGCTAACCACATTATTTCCAAAGTGTTCCTCTTTACAGTAGCCTTTCAATTCATCTCTCTATTTCAGAGAATATTTTATTCAGATACTGATAGTGTATAACACCTTTAATACTTGTTAATTTAAGGAGACTTAGGAGCGCCAGTTTCAGAAAGAAGTGAGAGCATTAGAAGCAAAGTAGAGGGTTTCTTATATTCATATCACTGTTTCTCTTTACAACATGGACGATTAGTGATTTAACTATATACTCTGCATTTATTGCCAAATTATTTCATTTTTCCTTCAGAAACATAATAATTCAAATATTTTAACATTTGATAGGATCATTATAATTTTGACCTGAGGACTCTGAAGACAATTATAATAATGGCTGGAAAGAAGAAACAGGAGTTTAAATGGTCAGTTGAATTTTGAATTGTTAGGTCAAAGGGAGTTATAAAACACTGGGAAAATAATTTGTAAAGTTTTAAGTAATGATAAGATAAAATAGGAAGCTCCCAGAGTGTCACAGTAAAATATGGTGGAGGGTGTTATGAATATGAAAAAAGAGGAAGAAAAAATGCACAAAATCCCTGGGTACCTTTCCTCAAGAGCCTATTCTTTAAAAAAAAAAATGTGCCTTATCTTTACATAATAAATTTATACTGGAATAAAAGACCC